AGTAATTTATCAAGGCCCCAAGGCTACCTTGTCACATTTTACTCTGGCATAGGAATCGGATTCTTTCCCCCATGAAATCAAAGACAAAGAGTTGGATTATACATACATTTCCAAATTTAGTTCAGGGTCAAGTTATAATCATCGTGCTTACCTGGAAGTTTAATGGTAACATAAGGTAATACTGCGAATGATTTCATCAGTGGGTTTCAGAAAATAAAGAAGCGACTTCCATCAAAAAAAAGTTACTATTTTTGCCTTTCTGCTGTCAGAGATGACAGTGTATGTAGGGTTTAAGGAGGAATGTTTTGGAGTCAGAAAGACCTAGATTCGTATCTGAGTTCTACCAGTTTACTAGCTCTGTAACTTGGGCCCTTTGATTATCTTCTAAGTGTCAGATTGACATCAGTTGAATGAAGATAATGATAATGTTGCTCCCAAGCCCATAAGGAGGGCTGTAAGGAAGATGAAACAAGATAATGTAAGTAAAACATGAGCAAGATGCCTGCGTTACTAAGGAAACGCTAAAAATAATGCCAGGTGCTATTATCACGGCTACCAATCAGAGTCCATGAAGGGGGTGTGATTAAGCAATGACTGGCAGCGGATCTGCATTCAATCTTACTTCCCCTACTTAATATTCATGTGAACTTGAACAAGTTACTTCGCTTCCCTGCACCTCAATTTCCTCCGGAAAACAAAGACTTGTAGTATCTACCTTATAGGGTTGTGAGGATTAAATAATCAATATAAGTAAATCACTTAACAGCATTGTCCAATAGAACTTCCTATGATTATGGCAATATTCTAAATCTGCACCGTCCAATATGATAGCCACTAGCCACAGGTAGTTATTGCATACCTGAAATGTAGCTAGTACAATTAAGGACCGAATTTTTAATTTAATTTAAGTAGCCACATGTGGCCAATGGCTACCACACTGGGCAGTGCAGACTTAGAACATTGCCTGACTACCATAGAACCATTAGTATTCTGTACTAACTGCTAAACTAAGTGAGTTAGCTGGAAGCAGTGGTGGTGCTGGTATGTGAGCACAGTTCATGAATAAGAAACTACTTCTTCCCAGCAAGGCTAGAGAGGAGAAACAAATTTATTTTCCAGTAATACATGTAATACGTTATTGATGGCACTTGAAGTAAGGGCCGTGAGGTGAACTATTAAATCATGTGAATTAAATTGCTGCCTAAATTCATTCTTTCTCAAATTTTTTTCCTTCATTTCAGTTTCAATTTTGAACACAGGTATGCATATTACAAAGCATATACTCCTTGGAAGAGATCTTGTGATTTTCTGAAAAGTAATTGCTTCCAGAATTTACGTGTGTGTGTGTGTGTGTGTGTGTGCGTGCGCACGCGCACATCAGTAACTTTCTCATTCACCAAAAAATCAAAATAATTGCTACTTATCACGAAGTCATACAAAAGACAAGAACTCAGTATGTCAGTATTGGTGAATGTTTAACTTGGAAAGCATCATATTCTATGTCAATATTTAAAAACAGATATTTTAGGGACACCTAGGTGGCTCAGTCTGTTAAGCGTCTGCCTTCAGCTCAGGTCATGATCCCAGGGTCGAGGGATCGAGTCCCGCATTGGGCTCCTTGCTCAGCGGGGAGTCTGCTTCTCCCTCTGCCTGCCACTCCCCCTGCTTGTGCTCTCTGTCTCTCTAACAAATAAATAAATAAAATCTTTTTAAAAAATAAAAACAGATATTTTAAATGGAATATTGAAAACACTAAGGACCATCAAACACATAGAAGAGACTTTGATGTCATGAAGAATGACATACACTTTATCCTTTTCTCTGGGCTGAGTAATGGCTACTCTTCTCAGAAGTGAGTGCACATAAAAGTTTCTTCCTGACCTAACGTTCTCTGGATTGTTCGAGCCTCCCTTTGTTTAACTTTTTACAAGAGCGAGAAGTTCAGAAATATAACAACAATGATATGGAATTATTTTTACAGCATTAAAGAAAAGGGAACAGTGCAGATTCCTTAAAGAATTGGATTTGGACATTTTCATCCACAATGGTCTTCTCAGCATTTGGCAGTTACCATAGCATGGCACCTCACTTAAATCAACGCATACTGTGAAAATACTTTGTCCATTTTCCTCAAAAGAAGGGAGGAAAATATCTCCACTTAGTTTCCCTACACAGAAAACAAGTTAAATGTTAGGCAGACTTTCATATTTGGCTTGGTTTGAGTCTCTAGGGTTCATTAGCATCTCAGTAGTCAGGAAAAGGAAGTTTACATTCTGGGTGCAGGAGATGAATGTCAGGAAAGGGACACTGAGTCTTTGTTAATTCCAAAAGAAACACTCTACAACCTGAAAAGAGACCTCTCCTTTCATCCTCCCACCTCTCCAGGGCCTCCTGTCTCATCTGCATCAGTGGCCTCCTGCCCACTGAGGATCGGGGAAGCCCAGGGAATATTTACACACCCAGGGAATATTTACACGCCCATGGAAGCAGCTGGCTACAAAGATAACATCTGAAGGGAAACTGGTTAGGCATGATGCATGAAGTTACGTGAGAAGGCTTAATCTTCAAATCATGGCCAGATCCAAAGCCTGTCCATGAAGACCCAGGCACAGAGGCCAGCCTTCCAAACACTAAATTTCCCCAGCACTGTCAAAAGTGACCTGGAAGGGTACACTTTGCTTTCCACAGTGCAAGAATCTTCCCGTAGAGCTAGCCTCGCCATATGGAAATCATTGTTCACCTGGAGCCCATGAACCTGGGAGGTCCATGGATAGATCTTCTGGGTCTGTAACAAATCCCCTAAAACCACACGTGAGAGGTGTACGTATCTTGTGTTTGTCACTGTGTGTGTGTTAAGGAAGGGTCAGTAGCTATTACCAGATTTTTGTAAGGGGCTTCCATCCATACCTGTACTAGCATGCCGTGAAGACAGCAGATAGCTCCAATTCAGGCAGTTTTTGTAAACATTCTCTTTATATTTTTAAAAATCTAAAAGTGTTCTGAAATTGTTTTCCAACTTAGGAAAAATATGTTGGCCATACTTGAAAATTAAACCAAGAGTACTCAGAGCATTCTAATAACACACTCCTGTACTTCCAACATATATATTGATAGAGTCAGGACATCTGGAAAGAAAGTGAAAATTTCAGCCTGTCTTCTAAATGTTTTGTCTGCATCAGAGATTTTCACCTGGGGAGCAGTTTTCTAAGTTGGCTCCTAGAAATCAACAGGGGTGCTTACAATAAACTGATTACAGGCTCCACCTGAGGTTCTGAGCTAATTGCTTGGGAGTGGGCCTAGACCTCCATGATTTTTAAGTTCCCCAGGGGACTCTGTATGCATGGCAGGCTGAAGACCACGGGCAAAGCGCTGGACAAACCGTTCGGCCTACGATCTGTGCTCTGCTGTGGTCACCACCATGATTATTGTCTGCTCCACCCTGATCCCTGTGACCCCAGCAGTCCCCTCATCCCACCCAACAGGTGTTGATTTGAATGTCATAAACATGGAGAATTGGCTGCAATTTTCATTTTTCTCATAGATTTTTAAATTCCATAGACATAAATTTAGACACAAACTGTGTCTTAAAGAGTAAAGCCCATGAAGATTTGTTCTTTACTGCAAAGTCAGTAAGTGAGAGTCTTTTTCTCTGGGAATTGTCCTTTCTCTTTCCTTCTGTTCGTAAGAAAGGCTCATTTCCATATGATTTTTTTTCTATAGTATATGCCACTTAAAGAAATAGGGTATAAGAATGACCGAGTTGTTACATAGGAAACTCAGTCAAAAAATTCCACTGTTAAGCAGTTAACCTGATTTCACAAATATTTACTGGGCACTGGCTAGATATTGGAGTTGAAAGTGCACTAAAATATAAGGTAAATAAAACAAACTACCTTGAACACTGCTATTCCAAAAACAGTATGAGCTATAAAGTATGGAGCTTTTGCCTTGTGTCCTACAGTGTGTTTGTTGCTTTATATGCATTATCCCATTCTACCCTTTTCTTTTTGAGGTAAGAACTATTATTATCTTGTTCCCAAGTTATGTAGAGCTTATTCAGGTCCATCCATTCAGCACACATATCTTCTAAACAAACAAACCCCAGAACACATGGCCATTTTCTAGCTTATTGTGTGGTGTTGGGAGAGCATTCCATTCCTAGAACCTAGTAAACACAGCCTAAGAGCAAATAATAATAGCGTTTCACATTGATGACCCCATAGGAATGTCAGTCCAGTCTTAGAGACAGGAAAACTGAATCTCAAAAAGGTTGAGTAAGTCACCTGAGGCCTCACTACTAGTAAGTGCCGAACTGACATTGAACTCTAGCCACCTCGTGAGATGCTTTGCCAAATACCCAATACTTCTGAGACTTGTCATAGATAAACTTGCCAACAAAGGACCTTACACTGTCCTGGACTCAGATGTTGTAACTGCAGATGAAAAGTCTTTTTTTTTTTTTTTTTTTTTTTTTGCTTATTTTAGTATCCAGATTCTTTTTCTTCAAGTTCCACAGTGATGACTCCCTCTTTGGCCACATTTCTTTCTAGTGTGCCTAAAAGGAAGAAGGCTCATGCCCCCTAGAGCATTTTCTTCCTCTTGAACTCGGGAATCTCCCGTGTGCTGGCAGGAAACTTGAGTCCTGTCCAGAAGCAGGATTTGCCTGGCCATCCCCACCATGGAAATGTGTTGCTACACCAAATACACTTCCACCTCCTGCTGAGAAAGAGCAGCTGGTGGTCATGGCTATTAACCTGAGCTCTCATTAGGGTGGTTTTTATAATGAGGAAAAGAGTGTGATCCTAATTAGTAATTTTGCATCTTTGTCTCAATAGGTATCCCCCAATCAAAGCAATCAGCTATCCTCATCACACGAGTTCCATTGCCAAAAAATAACCATTCTGTAAAACCAGCAAAAGTGAAGATGGCTAAGGACACAGGAAAGCAGAAAGGTTTTATGTGTTGCTAATGAGCTGCATTCTCCCCCACTTCTGCCTTAGGTCCGCGGCACCAGGATGGTTGGTTCTGAAATGGTGGTGACAGTTGAGTTTACCAATCCTCTAAAAGAAACTCTGCGGAATGTGTGGATACACCTGGATGGTCCTGGACTGATGAAGCCAAGGAGGAAGATGTTCCGGTAAGGGGTGGTGTGGGGACTGAGAAGGTGACAAGTGATGTGGGACTGTAGGAAGGCTTAGCTTTCTCTGTCTTTTCCAAACTTACATCTAACACCCATTAAACATGTCTGAGAAGCTGCCACCTTCTTATTGGCCATTTTTAGGAGTCATGGGGTAAAAGTAGGGTTGGTTTGACTGGCATTTCCATCATTTAATCCTTAAAACCACCCTAATGAGATAGGTACTATTATCATCTCCCTTTGGGTAGCAGAGGCTTTGAGAGGTCGGCTGGTTTGCCCCAAGTTCCACAGCTAATAAGAGAGGTGCCCAGATTCAGACTCAGGGTGGCTGATTCAGAAATTAAGTTTCAAGCATTCTGCCATACCACCTCCTCAGGTGTCAATTCTACTACTATCCATGGAGTACCTAGTGTGTGTCAGATATTATGCTGAAAGATGTCCCTTTTCAAGGGTCCTCTCTTCCCAGCCCCACCTTCCAGATTTCCCTGACACAAGCACTCTAGAACTGTTGCTTTCTGTAGAGTAGAGGGAAGCCTAAAGAATTGCAGACTTGGTTCTCTAGGGGACAAATGACTACCTCAGGCTCCATGATAAAATGAATGAGACTGTTTCATTCACACCTAGCACTGTCAGATTGTGCCCTATAGTTTCTTAGCTTCTGTGACTTCTGCTGACAAAGAGTGTCCCCCAACAAGACAGCCCATTTCACAGTCAGGTAGCTCTCATTGTTAGAAAACAGTTCTACCTTTTGATCCTACCCAGTGATCTTAATTCTGTCACTTGGATCAGCACAAAATAAAACCCATCTCTCTTCCATCTGGTGCCTTGCAAATGTTTGCAAACAACTGTCACATCTTCTCTATATCTCTCCTGACCCCTAATGTGGCTTTAGCTTCCCCCTCCAACCTTTCCCACATACACCAGTTTGTCAGTGCTCCTCTTAAAGTGTGACACCCAGAATGGATCCCAATCTTTGAGGCTTAATACTTTCATTTCTACCACAAATAAGTCCCTGTCAGCATCAATCGATCTAGCATATTTTCTGTGGGGTAAACTTCTAAAGCATAGAAGGAGAGGTGGAGGGCTGCAGAAAGTGCCTGATGGCGAAATATGTTAGGAATCTCCCTAACACCCTTTCTGGAAGCTACCCCCTCTGAAACTGTGGGACCAGGCCAAGGCCTCCTTCACCCCTTCTGGGATGCCTTTAAAGAACAATTTGCCCACTAAGTGCTCTCCGCATTCCTTTCAAATTACAGTGCTCACAGCTTCTGCAATCCCATTGTCTAAGAGAGACTGCTGCCCATGAATGCAATAAACAACAGAGAAAATAATTTGAGTGCTTTTTTAAAAATGCAAGCACAAAACATAACAACCCTTCCTGTGCTACTAGGAAAGTTGAAGGAAAAAAAAAGAATTAAATTAGAAATCATCCTTAGTGAGAGGGAGAGGTCAGCAGTGATAGCCCTGATTTCATCAGAAACGACAGCCTCACTCACCTCTTCTCGCACCTTCCCACTTGAATCAGATGCGAGAATCCCTCAGGCAAAGTGAAACACGTTTCTTCTTCAAAACGACCCCCGCTGCATCCATTTTTTCCTTCTCAAATGGTAACCCTGGAAGCCTCATCTGAGGGTACTGGAACCTCCTCCTACCTGTCCACCTTGCTGTGCCAAAAATCCCACCTTGATCATAGGCCAATGCATGAAAAGAGACAATCTGTGTGTTAGAAGAAAGATTAATCCTCACACGGTGCAATGACCTACAGTTTGGGAGGCATAGGGCTCTAAGTGAGTTGAGTGTCCAGGCGCTTATTGTTAATATCTGACATTGGGGTAGGGCAAAGTGGAGTGAATCATGGAAAGGATGGGAGAGTCCAGTCCTTACATGGATACAAGGCAAATGCCCTGCCCACACTCTTCTTTAAGGTACTATTGGTCGTTACTTCCAACACCTTGGTCTATGGCAGATGGGTAACAGACAGAAAGCGAGGTCCTCAATCTCTTATGGGAATCCAGATCCAGGAGGTGAATCTCTCCAACACAAAGGTAGCTTTATTTCTCTGAGACTGTCAAAAATTGGAGAGAACTTGAGAGGGAAAATATTTACGATCTAGGGTGGGTTTGGGACTTTGGAGAGCACTACTTTCTCTGTCTCCTTCTGACTCCAGCACACACATTCACAACCAAGACCTGAGCCAGCCAGCACCCACATCCATATTGTCAGATAATTATAAGCACTCCAGGGTACCCTATGCTGCCAAGATCTGATCTAAGAGTGGCAGATCCATGTAACAACTTGGACCCTTAAAAAGAGCAATTGTGTAGTAGCAGAATTGTTCACAAGACTGATTCCTTTCTAGGATACACATCTTGAATAGTCAAGGGAATCACTACCCCCACCTATCCACCCACAGTCCTGCCAAGGCCCTAGAAGACAAGGGGTGTCAAGCTCAAAACAGGGGGCCTGGAAGGCAGGAGCTAGAGAACAGGGAATTGAACTAGGAATGAGGAAAGCAGTGGTGTTTCACTCCTTGCTCAGGGTATGAGCCAAACTGTGTTCCGAGATGATTTACCTTCCTGCCTTCTGCTACCACCTCCCACCTATCTCAGATGCTTGAAAGTGCTGCCCCCACAGACTCTCAGCTTTCAAGTTTCTGCACTTGATACTTCCAGAACATCAAATAATTCATCTTCCAGATTCATTTTTCTCTTTAAAAAATGATCAGGTTCAGTAAGTTATTTCAAGAGAAAAGTTCCCTGACTTTGTGATTTTGTTTTAAATTTTGAGTTTCTCAAGTAGGACAGAAGCTGAGGGCTAGACACATGGAGAACAACCCATAGATAGTTGCAGTTTATTGTAATAATAATCCCATTTGCCTGTGTGTGTTCAAGATGATAAATGGCCAGCATGTCTTGATAGCTCAGCACATTAACTGAGAACCATTTATCACAACATCTATCCCCAGGCAAATAGGATTATTCCAGTATTACTCCATTTACCAATATGGGTGAGTGATTCTTTTCTCTTTCTGTACATATTTATCTATAAATAAATGCATACTTAGACATGCATGTGTATTTTCATGTATGAGTATCTTTGTTTGATAGTCTTGAGTAGACATCTAAACATGTATGAGATACATATGTGAATATCATTATGGGGCCAGGTTTATGAATAAGAGCCAATAACGAAGTGAAGCTCAGGGATTATAGTTTCTATTTGAGGTAGTCACCTGCATTACATGGCCCTAGGCCAGATCCTTAAGCAAGACAACTATTTTACAAAGTGTTTCTGATTGATCACTTGGGGAAACCAGAGGAGAAAGAATGAAAGGATCAGGGTAAAAATTGCCCAGCGCTTGAGAAATAAATATCTTAAAACATATATTCATATTGAACTTATCACCGTAAATTAAGGACAGAGAACTGTTTCTCTGCAAACAGGCGGGAGGAATTTACTTGCCTAGTTTTGCAGAGTTCAGGCAGAGGAAGCAACAACCACAAGGGTGGATTGTGCTAATAATAATAATTATAGCAACAGCAACAGTAATAACGACACTAAACGACACTTGGCAATTGCCATATTTGCCATGCTTCTAAGTGCAGTACAAATAGTAATTCACCCCACTCTCTCCACACCCTATTCATTTTTTTTAAGATTTTATTTATTTATCTGATAGAGAGAGAAAGCGAGCACAAGTAGGCAGAGCAGCAGGCAGAGGGAGAGGAGAAGCAGGCTCCCCGCTGAGTGGAGAGTCTGATGCGGAGCTCGATCTCAGGACCCTGGGATCATGACCTGAGCTGAAGGCAGACACTTAACCAACTGAGCCACCCAGGCACCCCCACACTCTATTCAATATTTTATAGTGTCTGCCTTTTACAGGTGAGGAAACCCATGGTGAGGTCAATGTTTTTCAAACCTTGAATCATAAAATCGATTTACTGAGTTTGAAAAATACCTATATAGGTTATGTGTGTGCACTTTTCACCCAATTTGGCTTTTATATAATGGGTGAAAATAATTTATAGAACCACATTTATAAAGAACAAAAATAAAGAAGAGAATTAGCAAATACCAAATTGATTGAGACATTTAGACCAGCAGCGGCAGAGTCAATGCCTGGAGCAGTTCCAAAGAGAGGAGTCCCCAAGGCCTTAGATGCCTTTCCCAATTCACTGGGCACAGGTATAAGAGTTTGAAAGGGATTTCTTATTTAGTGTCTAGATTTCAAAGATTTGGGGTATTTCCCCTTTCTATCCCAGAGGATGTACATCCACTGCCATCTAAAATACATATTGTTTTAGCTCTATTTGAGGAAACTTGGGGCTTCTAACTTTATATTGAATAGGTCAAGCACAGGTATGTGGCCCCATATTTCTCCTTGTACTTTGGCTGTGTTTAAAGTAATGCTCTATGGACCTGGCCTCCAAGGGCAAATAGGGGATCACATAGCTGAGGCCTTTGAACCACTCCAGACTTTCTTTGGCAGTTCCCCTTCCTTGTAACCCCTCCTACCACCACCCCAGTCTGAAGCTACAGCATCCCCTGCTACTTTGGTCCCTCAGTCCCTCCATGGTACTAGTAGGAAGTACCCTCCACTAGGGATGTATTCACAGAATTCCTCTGCACATCATGTTCCTCATTTCTTAGCATGAGCACACTCTTCATGTCCCCCAACACATTTTTGTTTGTCCATGGTCTGGGTCATCAGGCTATGGCTGTGGAAGATTCCATAAGGCTCCTTAGGATCTCATCTTCCTTGCCTATAAATGAGGTAGCTGGACTAAGTGATTTCTAAGTCCTTTTCAATTCTGACGTGTTATGCCTCGGTAATCCAATGAAAACAGGTCCCTTTTCTGTCTAAGGCATTCATGGTGGTCTTCCTTCATCTCCCAGATGTCCTCCCAGAGAAGTGCTGGCCCAGGATCCCCTGCAAGGTCACCCAGTACATGCTCTCCCTGAGGATCAGAGATCAGAGACCAGGAATCCTCTATGAGCAATATAAGCAAGAAGCTCTTAGTACTGAATAAAAGGGCATCTGTCTTGCTTATAGGAAAAAAAAAAAAAAAAGCTAGCACAGTGATCAGAAAAGTCATCTTTATGGAGGAGCATGGATTTGGGAATCAGAACAACCTGGGTCCAAATCTCATCTCCGCCCATTCACAGCTGTGTGATCTTGGAAAAACTGCCTCACTTGTTTATCCCTCCATTTCTCTTAACTATTCAGTGTGTCAAATAGTACCTACCCCAAGGGACTATCATGTATGTAAAACCTGAATGTAACTTCCCCCTGAGGTTTCTATAGGGTAAAATATGTGAAGCACCCCAGAGAAGCCTAAATCTCCCCAACCCTGATTGACCTTAGTCATTCACTGGAGTGGGCTTGGCCATGAAGCTTAGGAAAACCTCAGTGCATAGGCTGCAGAGGAAGAGGAGAATACCAGAACCATTAAAGGCCAGTCCCATTATCAGGATGGACACAAATGAGTAGTAGAAAGGTACATGGGCAAAGGGACCCAATTTGGTGGTTAAACAGGATTATGAATTATAGAGCATGTAAATACTCCATCAGTTGGCAGCAGGTAAGGTTATGTTCCAGACCTTGGGCCTGGGAACAAGGTCTATCCCAAAGGGATTGGCAAGAACTAATTAGAGTATCAGGACCTCAGCAAAGGCAGCTGGGGATTCAGATAGGAGTCTAATTCAGGAGGGAACTAGAGTGGCCCAAAATGAGCCAAGGGAGATCAGTCACATCCATGAGGCTACTGCAGAGGCTGGGGGACAAACTAGACTTCAGTTGACTCATGGCTGCTGGGAGACTCAGCCCTTCTTCACCATGCACTGGATGGACCACATCTACTGTGTGGCAGTAGATGCCAGTTGATGCATCCAAGTGGAAGGAACCATGACCCAACGGGCCTGTCACAGGCACATCCCCATCTAGGGGCCTCCTTTGGGTTGGAACTGGTAAAATCAGCCCTTCTGTCTTCTACTACCATCAACTGAGAGAAAGAGAGCATGTGACTCAGGCAAGGGTTCTCACTGCTTCCTGATCAAGGTGGGGAACTGGATCTGCCCCTCTGGAAAGTAAAACCTTTCCTCTCTTTTCCATCCTTTCAGTGAAATCCAGCCCAACTCCACTGTGCAATGGGAAGAAGCATGTCGACCCTGGGTGTCTGGCCGTCGGAAGCTGATAGCCAGCATGACCAGTGACTCCCTGAGACATGTGTATGGCGAGCTGGATTTGCAGATTCAAAAACAACCTTCTGCATAAATGCACAGGGGGGTGAGATGGACCGGGGTACTGGGTCTCTTGTAGTCTTGGCTAAGGAAATTCTAATGCAAAATATAGTCAGCTCTTGCTTTAACTTGGGTATGAAGACCCAGCCAGGACTACACGGGGCCCCAGAGTAGAAACGCCATGTATTTCAAAGACTACTTTTCAATGTGACTATTCAATATGGAAGTTAGTTTTTAATCACTCCACCTTCCAAAAGATTCTGAGCATTAGCTTTAATTAAGCTCTAATTAAGTTCTCATGGCTCATAAGAGTAGAAGTCATCATTTATCATCACAAATGGCTATAGCTCCAAATATCAGAGGACTTCCCTTAACAAGGGGACTTGCTCAATACCTGGCTTCATGTAAAACAAGACTCTGATCTCCCACTCAGCCTTTTGGAGGTAATATACCCCCCAAAGGGGAGAGAAGCACATGATTTGGGCCCTAGAATTCTATTCCCCTTTCTTTGGAATCAACTCTCTGTGTCAGAATATTTTTCCCAGGTAGTGAGAACAACATCATTTTTCTTCTTGGCAAAGCCAGGGCAAGGTCTTTCATCTTACACCTGCGGCAAAGCAACTGCCTGCCAAATTTCACAGATTTACCTTGTGAGAAGATATGGCCCCATATTAACAAATTGCATTTGTGGGAAACTTAATCACCTAAGAGGAGATAAGATAGCAGGTGCAATACTCAGATCTATTAAATAATGGAGTTTTATGGTGCCTTCTATAAGAGGTGTCACACTGTGGCCTGATCAGCAGGAACCAATATCCTTTACTTTAACTCTTTTGGGGCCACAGGACTAGAAAGTAACAAGGCTGACTTGGGACAGGAAAAATGAGGAATTAGTCTCTTTTATTAGTGATTATACTTCAAGATCTGTCTCTCTGGGATCCTCTCCTTCACACAATGATGTCCAGGTACATTTTTAGAGATAAAACAAGCCCTATGAGTTGGAGAATCTGGCAGATTTAGTGGCCAGACATGTAGAAGGATGGGCAGCCACTAATTCCCTGTTGTCCTTCATATCACTCCTGTTGAGACCTCAGCTCAGGACACAGATGCTAAAAGGTAATACAGAGTCCACTTTGCAAGTAGCCAATGCTAACACAGACCCAATGACAGAAGATGTTGACATCATTTGTGTTATGCTCCAAGGTTCCAACAGGCAAGGCTATCTGCTATTTATCTGCAAGGCTGATTTATGATCAAAATTATCCATTGATATGCCTAGGGTATGATTCTTAGCAAAAACAAAAACAAAGTGGGAAAAGCCAGAATGAAATTTTCTGATCTGAATAACCACATTTCTAAGCCTTTAAGACTATTCCGGGCACCAGGGACCCATGAGGGTTAGTGGTCACCTCCATATGTGCATCATACCTAATTCTATTAAGTAATTAATAATCCCAGCATTTGCCAAGCTTTCCAATACTCAATTTTAAAATGAAATGCATTTTGCTATATGGTTAAACTGGCTTAATGTAGTATATGCTTATTAACTAGAATGTAATCAAAGCTTCAAATAAAGTTAATGTGATTATGTTTGCATCTGCATAAAAGTGAACATTTCATTTTCAATACAACATACTACTAACCACAGGTGGTCAAGAAACCACCCTTCCTTAGCAATAGATGACCAACCCTGGCTAGGAAAACAAGCATTTCTACTTTAAAGGAAATGACTTTAATAGGTACTCAGGCACAGTTAGCTTTCCTCACTGCTCTCTTTACATTTTATTAACCACATTCATCAAAGGAGGAAGTTTATGTATTTAGTTCAAAACCAGCTTCCAGAAACTGCAAAATCTCTGTAGGTACTTTTTCATGAATGATCTCATGAATCATTATAGTGACTCAGTAGACAAACCAGCTGGACACCTCTCATAAAGAACACCTTTTGTGGTCTTGGAACAAAGATGGAAAACATATGACAAGTGTGTATGGGAGATCCTGCATTCATGGCAACATCACTGAACAATTGCAACTCAGATAGGGCCTCAGAACTCTCCTCAATGCAGCACTCCAAGCAGCCATTACCAACTGATTTAGAGTTGGCACTCAAAATAAAACCTATTCATCATGCCTAAGAACCAGCCCATCCCCTCTAATAGCTGGGATTCTACACTGTATAATAATGCTGCGACTCTAAAAATCATTTTAGCAATGGTAACAAGCAATGAATCTCAGCACCAGAGACTCTGAATTCTAGTTTCTGCCTCTGCTAAGCCTCTATGCTTCTTAACAAATCTTTATTTGTGTTTATAGCTTCAGTGACCAAAGAGGGGTAATAATACTTACATTTCCACAAGATTCTTCTGGGGATATATGAAGCAAAACTTAACAACCCATGCAAAACTATAGGTAGATAGATGATAGAAATTGAGATAGGTAGATAGATAGATGATAGATTATGGATAGATGGATAGATAGATGATAGATTAGATAGATAGATGATAGATATAGATGATAGATGATAGATAGATATAGATAGAAAGAGAGAGAGAGAGATTGTATGAATACATTTTTTCCAAGTAATTTCACTTCATCAACCCTGTAAAAGAAATAAATGTAATTATTTCCAGCCTGTTGATAAAGACCCTAAAAAGGTCTAGGAAGCCACACATCATGGCAAGTCAAGCTGCAGATGGGAGCAAGCGGTGAAATCAACCCCTGGTTTACTGTATTTTCTTTACATCTTTTGTCTCTCAAAGTTTTTAAGAATATTGAATTAAAATCAACTTCAAGACTCTTCATAGAGTTGCAGTATAACAACAAAAATATGTACAAATTTATAATAAGAATATGGAAGGATATGGAGTTTGTGCAATCAAAAGTCACAAAATTCCAGATGTAAAGTTGTCATTTATGAATATTCTTCCAATATTACTACAAAGTTAGTAGTCAGCCAACCCAACTATCCATTCATTCATCTTTTCTACCATCAAGCCATGCTCCTGCCAGCTAGCCAGCCAGGCAACCTTTTAACCACCTATCCATTCTTTATTCCAACCATCCATTTAACATTTATGAATTAATTAATTGTGCAAGCATGAATTAAACAAATATTTATTGAACATTAGGCATCATCCTAGAGCCTGGGAATTCAACAATGAAAAGTCCCATGGTCCTTACCCAGAAAGAACTCACATCCAGAGAAGAGGGCCAGATATATAAATAGGTAAGGTACATGAGATATTATGTTAATTGAGAGTTGCCCAGCATACCATGGGAATAAAGAGGGGGAAAAAATGCCTGAAAAAGCCTCCCTTAATGTCTCCAATAATGGAGAATAAATTCAAATTGAATCATGAAAAAAAAAAGAGCAAGAGGTAAGATAGAGATCATTTGACAAAGAAGAGCTCATGTAACAGCCTAGAGAAGAGAAAGAACATGACCTTTCTGGGGAACTGCAATTAGCTTGGCATGGTGAGATGGTCAATATCCAGCAAGAAGAGGCAGGGATCTCCATATTCACCATAATGACTCAGAGATCATTTGTAAGACAGTATCTACAGAGATTTCAGCCACAGAAGTATGGGTCAGAGTTGGAGCACTTCCAAGAATGAGAATTTGTTCCTTCTGCCCTGTGTTGTGGAGAAAGGCTAATAAAGACTGCTAATTAAAAAAAAAAAAAAAAAAAAACAGAAAAACAAAACAAACAAAAAAACTGGATCAAAACTAAGAACTATAGTGGGTGAGTCAAAGAGGGACGAGGCCAAGAGAGTATGGGGTGGAATGCCTAACTCAGGTCAGTGAGGAAGGTGTAAGCTTGGGACCGTGGCCACATTGGGGTCTAGGAATGGGAAATGAGATGTATCAAGGCCCAAGTGGATACAAAGTGAGAAAGGTAGCATGTCAAGGGAAGCTGTCCATTTCAAAGACTGATACAAGTATACAACAGATAAGTTCCTAGAAGCTGAAATTTGGGCAACCAAGTATTTACCATTGGCAGAGACTGATGAATACCCAGGATCTTATTCCTAGGGCCATTCTCACTTCTCTTAAAGGCCAAGCTCTCCAACTCAGTACCCAAGAGAGCCAAATGCTTCTAGAGATACTCCTTCCATTTTCAGCACTTCGAACCACTTAGACTCAGTTTTACCTTCTTAGTCTCTGTAGAAGAATGAAAACAAGACAAGACAAACATCTTTTGAGCGTATCTGTCAGAAATCACTCTATAAAAACAAACACATAACTACATGAGAAGAAAAAACAAAGGGCTCGGTTGCGGTAGGATGAGTAACTAGGAGATTGTGCTCACCTCAAGTGCCAGGAGTTACACTGAACACTTTTTAGCTCCAAAGACAATGGCCATTTTCAAAAAGATGCTTGGTCAGCTTGCTGCTGATAACAATTAATGAACCCCCATTAATTTTCACACTAATCATTGTTCTAGAACTTAAGTAATTATCTAAGCAATGTTTCACTACCCTGAAACTGATTCAAATATAAGGGGTCCTAATGAGTATTTTCTGTTAGTAAAAAGCAAGTACCTATAACACAGAAAGCGTTCTTTCCTCTTTTTGGTTTGAGCAAGTTTAGACAGTGGAAAACTACAGCAAGTTTAGAGAGTGTAAAAATAACTACAATCAGAGTTTATTTACCTAAAGGTGGTAGATTATAGAATACCATAAAATTGTTGTCCCTGCTTCCATTGAGAAGTGGGGTCCACCTTCCCACCCCTCAACTCTAGGCAGGCTCTATGATTGCTTTGACCGAAAGAATGGGATAGAAACAATGCTACAAGTTCTAAGATCCATTCCTTGGGAGAATGGTGGCTTTCACTTCTTCTCTTTTGAAATCCTCTCCATAGAATGCCTGAGCTTCCAATAAGAGCTCAACTACTTTGAGACTGCCATACTGGAGTAGCTACATGTTAATTCTCTGGTCAGCCATCCTAGACAAACTCAGCCTTGCAGTAATCTCCACGAAGGCACCAGATATGATAATAAAGCCATATGGGGCTCCCCAGATCAGCCCATCCACCAGCTGAGTACCATCACCACCACCAAGTGACCTCAGTTACTTAGAGCAGAAGAATCACTCTGCCAAGCCTTGCCCAAATTCCTGAACCACCAAATCATGAGATATATAAAATGGTTGCTGTTTTAAGTCACTAGATTTGAGGTTATCTGCAATGCAGTAAGATAAAACCAGAGCACTGAGCCCAACCATCTCAGAAAGGAGAGCAAATTACTGATTAACGCTCTTCTTGCTTTGAGAAAATGCTATGTTTGAACTTCATCTTTTCTTTCCAAAAAATATGGGACGATGCATAGTTTGTCATTACTCAGCAGCTTCCATGTATTTGAAGAGACCTAACACGTATACTTCCAAGTTTAATAGTTTCAATATTGCCAGTTCCTTGAACTCTTCCTTTTAAGCTATGATTTTCTGGGATCTTCATCAGCTTCATTGAGGTTTGGTTAGATGCTATTAGGGATAACTTGAAGATGAGAGAGAGAACCCGAGGATGGAGAATGACACTGTCTCTCACAGAGACTTAGGGAATAGGGTCATTCCACTGAGAACCTCAAAGCAATGTCAGATCCTCTACTACCCCCCCAAACCCAGGCTCTCCATGAGCTGAAGTACTAGGGAACGGTCTGGTCATGAACCTACATGCCATTGTTTTCTCCCTGAACGTTCAAAAATGCCTTGATTCTCACATAGGTCTACACTGATTTAGCTCTAACTATGTGAAACCAAATGGAATAAAGTAACTTATTTTTGTATCAGTTATACCTAAGCCTGAAATTTGTGGCCACTTTTAACAGGTAAGCCCGATAATGGCCTGAAACCTGAAGTGTTCAGTTAAAGATGAGTCAAAAACTAGTCATTTGATGGCAGTGACCCTAGAGCAGTCTTGCCCTTTAAGAATGTGTTCTCAGTACTCAATAGTAGTTGTAATGAGTAGCTGTCCTCTGCCCAGCCTTTCATCTATGAGGGGCTTTATGCCACAGTGGGGTCCCACATTTTTGTACATGCTTTCATCAAAACATCCCAAACCATAGAAGGCCCATATCCACGTGGTTCCCCAAGATCCCTGACAGAAGGCACTGAGAGCTAGTCTCTGGTGAACCCTTGTTGCTCTTGCCTGTGCTCATCAGCACTACACAGCCCTCAGGAAGTGGAGGACCATATGATTTGCCATTCTATACCTTTTCCTGAAAAGAGAGATTCCTAAGCTTAGCAGATCATGCTCTTACATTATAAACTATGACATTTAATATGGATTTTGAATAGTTTCTGACCGTAATGACATCTCTATTCTCCTACTTTTAATGATATTTATAATTTACTTTTTCTTTACTGTTTCTGGGGTTAGTTTCTTATGGCTAATGTTACCCATATTTCAAAGTTGGACATCTATAGCATCTGGGGATTTTCAAGGGAGAGGTTCACCCTGCCACCAAGTATTCCCTTACCCAAACCAGACCTGTCCAGGCTGATGTGCCCATGGTATTGCCCTGGTACTGCCAAACTTGCTTTTTTGTACATTGCTTTAACTATAGACACAAGGCCAAGCTCATGAGTATTTTTTCTTTTGTCTTGGCTATAACCATGAATTCAAAAAAATATGGTTCTAAAAAAGGAATTTGATCATTAAAAGAGATGCTAGGCATCTTCAATAATATCCCAATTATCTTTATTGAGTATGCAATGCTAAAAACCCATATAGATCAACAAAGTGTTATTACTGATACAAAATTTAAAAATAGGTATAATAAAATAAAACCTCTCTCCGCGATGAAAAACAATAGGCTTTCATGATATCTTCACTAGTAATGTGAAACAGAAAGTGACAGCTATTATCTGGGAAATGTAAACTAAAAAAAAAAAAAACAAACAACCCGGGTTCACCTAAATAACCTAAATATTGAAAACATAATATAGGGACGCCTGGGTGGCTCAGTCGGTTAAGCGTCTGCCTTCAGCTCAGGTCATGATCCCAGCGTCCTGGGATCAAGCCCCGCATTGGGCTCCCCGCTCCGAGGGGAGCCTGCTTCTCCCTCTGCCCCCCCCCCTCTCTCATGAATAAATAAATAAAATCTTTAAAAAAAATAAAATAAAATAATATAAAAATGTTCTACTTCCACCATTTCTCTTCTTTAATTCTGGTTATATCCCTAAAAATCTAATTTAAGCACAGCCATGGTATCTATGTATCCTAACTAATGGTTAATGTTTTGTTCTGTTAGTGCTCCATACATGTAAAATAATAACACATGATGAAGTCCTGGCTGTATATTGCTTTTCAAAAATTAATACATTAGATAATTAGGTATCCAAGAGGTTGCCTTCACTGTTACTATTTTTTCATTCGTGTTATTACTAATAAAACATGCTGTTTAAATCCCACGGCACACTAGGTCCTGTGCTGAATTGAGAAGCAGCGAAGAGGCCTGCCGAAAATAGGGACTGATCTGGAGCACTGCTGGTGAGAGTGTAGATTTTGAAACACTACTTGGCAGCATCTACTAAATCTGAACACATGCTGTGACTCAGTGATTCAACTCCTAGGTATATTTCCGACAGAAATGTGTACATACAGTTACCAAAAGATAAGAGTGTTCAAGAATATTCATAGAATTCAAAATAATAAAAACATTTTTTTCAGGAACCCAGGTGAGACATAACTGAGTGCTCTGGCTCAAGATTTCTCACAAGGCAGCAATCAAGGTTGGCCAGGGCTGTAGTGTCATCTGAAGGCTTCTTTCAGCTCATTCATGGGTTTTCTGCAGACAGGCGTGCTGAGGGCCTTGGTTCCTTGCTGGCTGTGGGTTGGCGGCCTCCCTCAGTTCTTTGTCCAATGGGCCTCTCAGTAGGGCAGCTTAGGACATCTACCTTGCATCACAATGAGAAGGCAAGAGAGCAAGACAGAAGCCAAAACCTTTTTGTAACCTATCCTCAGAAGTGACACTCATCATTTTTGTCATATTCTGTTAAAAATGAGTCACTGAGGGGCGCCTGGGTGGCTCAGATGGTTAAGCGTCTGCCTTCGGCTCGGGTCATGATCCCAGGGTCCTGGGATCGAGCCCCACATCGGGCTCCCTGCTCAGCGGGGAGCCTGCTTCTCCTTCTCCCTCTGCCTCTCTCCCTGCTCATGCTCTCTCTCTCTCTCTCTCTCTCTGTATCTCTGTGTCTCAAATGAATAAATAAAATCTTTAAAAAAAAAAAAATGAGTCACTGAGTCCAGCCTACAGTCAAGAGAAAGGAATTACACAGGGCATGAATATCAGAAAACAAGAATCATTTGGAACTATCTTAGTTATTCCTCAATGAAATTTGTGTAAGAAAATTATTCTTAGAAGTGCCAAGATGAAGCCACAGGTTCTGACTACGTTAAGATTTTTTGGTTTTATGTTGTCCTCCTTCCTGGGCCTAAGAAGTTATCCATGCATACTAACTGAATTCTAATTAAGTTTCTTGGGGTTTTTCCTCCTCAAGACATCAACTTGAGGATTTACTTCTTGAAAGATCACCATCTGACCAGACCCAAATGAACCTCTTTCACCAACAAGTACTTTTCTACCTAAGAAGTATCTGGATGCCAGAGAGGGAGGAGTTGCTGTCTTCACTTCAATACCACATAGATACAGCTTAGAAAAAAACCCAGAAAATTAACAGTCTTCATCATTGGGGCACCTGGGTGGCTCAGATGGTTAAGCGTCTGCCTTCAGCTCAGGTCATGATCTCAGGGTCCTGGGATCGAGTCCCGCATCAGGCTCCCTGCTCAGTGCAGAGCCTGCTTCTCCTGCTCCCTCTGCTTGTGTTCTTCTATCTCTCTGTCAAATAAATAAATGAAATCTTTAAAAAAAAAAAAAAAACAGTCTTCATCATTAATATTCAGGCTACCTCAGCTGGGCTTCACCTCATTGTATATAAAAGCCAGTAAATGCAGCAGAAATTGTGTGGCAAACCATATGTTAACACATGGAAAAATAATACCTTTTAATCTTAAAGTTGATTATCTCTTCATCTCTGCTGTGCCTTGGCATGGCTTCCCTGACAACTCGTACCAAATGTTGAAATAAGTTGTAGTATCTGGCTGACCCATCACGATGATTTCCTTTGCCAAAAATGACTAACAGTTTTGAACGATTAAAATAAATCCCATTTAGGCAAGCATCCACTTTTCAACTTATAAAAGAAGGTCTGTGGCTCTGGTGTATACATCACTATGTATCTGGTACAGGATAAATCGTTGTTGAATGAATGAATGGTCATAATGGCCACCTAATGGAGTAGGGAAAGAGTGTTATTCTCCCTGGTACTTATAGTTTGGTTAACCCTGTCATTCTGGTG